TTTAATATTAAAGGTTTTTGTTGTCTTTTGGAGGACTTTTAGATCGAGATGAACTTGGGCTTTGCAAGTATCCTTTTGCCTCCCTTGGTTTGCTTTCATACTAAGTCCCGGAATATCTCGAAAGAATTAGCAAGCCTTAGAAAATATTCTGGTTAGATCATAGACATCACAATTAAGCAAATAATGGCTTGCTCAAGTGAGGCATGGTGTGGAAGTTAGAACCTTATCAGTTTAGCATGGGAGATAGAGAGTTTGCATGGTTGCCTGGTGTTCTAGGTTGGGTAAACTGGGTTTTCTAAGGTTCTAAAAGGGCTTCTGTTAACATAAAGGGTTGAGGGAAGGTTAGGGAAAACCCTAAGGTTGCAGGGAGATGGTTTTCTCGAAGGTCCAAGACTGTTTGCAATTAGAGAGTGATTTCCCTAGTTTGGTGTAGTACAACCTTGAATCTCCCTCTAATGTTCTATGTTCTATTTCTCTCCCTCTTTGTTGTTCCCTGTTTTTGTATTTAGTTCTCCCTTTTTGTAGGTAAATAATGCTTTTCTAGACTTCCTACGGAATATCTAATTATGGCTAGGTCTACATTCCTCTTTCTCCTGACATAATTGTGACCTTCCTTATTGATATAATGCAAATGAGTGTTGATGCGCTCGTGAAGACTGCGTTGCACCTCCTTCCAAAGCACTGCTTTCTTGGGTTAGTTTCCACAACCTTCTCGCGACTTTCACTCAACGTTCATCCTCTCTCTTCATTAAATGCATGTTTTGCTAGGCTTTCACGTGAAGTTAAGGCTTAGGGTTTGGTTTCTTCCTAACTGGATTGGTTGGCTTGCTAGATAAAAAAGGAAACTAAGTTTGTTCTTTCTCAAACTCACCCATGTGGACTTTAAAGATTGTGGGCTTGGATCTTTGGGCACAAGTAGCCATAGTCTTCCATAATTTTGACTCCTCATAGGCCCAATAAACTTCCTTAACCATCCACACCATAATTCACTTGGCAAGCCCTATACATGTGACTTGGGTTTACGTTAGTGTGAACACTACTTAGCGTGATAAAGCGTGGCGTGATAAATATGCATGGATTTGCATGGACATGACATGATTTATCCAAATGTCCGGTTTAATTAGTATAGCGTGGCATGATTGTGAATATCTTTCTTTTTTGATTCCACACCTTTGCATGTGTTTAAGCTTGGCTTAGAACTTGTATGACAATTGAGTTTTGAGACTTGATTGGACTTGAATATAACGTTTTTGGGTCTCAACATTGTCTAGAATAACTCCTTTTTAACCTCGCCTTGCCTTAGACCAAATTCCTCAATCCTCCCCTGAATATAAGAAAACATTGCATTAATTTGCGTGTAGATGGCAACCAAAATCATATGATAAAGTTGATTTATCAATATGTCATCATGTTTAATTGTTTATAAAAATAAAAATGCTAACGGGACTTGCTACCTCACAGTTTAGGGTGCATTATTGTTCACTATCTTTAAATGGTGATCCTATGTAGATCATTTTCATACCAATATTATAAAAAATTGTGCAAAAAACATGAAATGATAGAAAATTTATGTAGTTTCATTTTTGAAATAGCATTCTTAGCATTCATCTTATAAAAAAAAAAAAAAAAGAGACAATACCATCGTGTTTAAATTTCTTTTTGTCATCTCTTTTTAGAAAAAGGAAAATTTGCTTTTTCCTTGGATTTATCACATTATCTAAATGCCAATCTCCTCCATATTGTTTCAGTTCTATATCTAAAATCTCAAAAGACGTACCCCAGCCATCTACAACTTAAATTCATGGTGTTCCCCGCAGCATCTAACCTACACAGTAGTTGAACCCTAGAACCAATACATAATTAAAGTCGAAATTTAATCATTTTTTATGGAAGTTGAAATTTAATCCTTAACGCATTAAAGTTAGTCGAAAAACCAAGAATATTGAAGTCATAATTATCTCCGAATTTGACATGTTCACATAAAATACAGTGGTGCTGCCAATGCCAATTTTTTCATAGACAAATGAGTTTAGGGAACATTTTAGTAATCTAGAAATATTTTTAATGTTAAAATCCAAAACCTGTACTATGGTTTCGCTGTATTACATGCAACGGATCAATGAATGATTAAATATACGGTAAAAAATCGAACCAGTAAAACTAGCAATATGTACTATACATGGATGCATACTAAAAAATCTCGTTTTAAAACTCTAAAGCCGATAGGGCATAAGTTGAACAAAAAAAGCATATGAATTTGTGTGGAATAAAATTCCCAAAATGTCTGGACATCTCAAGTACTACGCAGAGTCATACTCGGTTATCACGCTAATCCCTAGAACACAATTGCCTATTTTTAGAACTCATCACACAAATCCTCCCTCTCAGAGACGGATAGGATAGACAAGGCTAACAAACACACACTCCCGTTACGTTTAAAAAGAAATCCAAAAACGAGGGCACTTTTATTTGTTTTTGTGTTTTTTGAATCCCAAATTCAAGTAAAAGTCTCTATTAAAACAATACACAAACAAAAGAATTTCTCTTGGTGACGGTGCCACTCTCTCTTTCTTTGATCATTATGAGTTGTGTGGCTTCGTACCCTCTTCTTCTCCACCACCTCTATCAACATCCCTGTTGTGACTACACAAACAACAACCCTACTTATCATCTACATCTTAATCCTCTTTCATCCTGTAAGTTTTTCGTTTTCGTAATCGTTCTCTTATGATTAGATGGAATCGAGCTCGACTTATCGTCATCAATAATTGAGAATCATTTTTCTACAGTTGTATGTTTATCTTTTAATGTGATACGAAGGAATCGAGCTCTTGATTTATCAAAATTGTTAACTCCGAATTCTTATTTAATTAAATTTTTTTTTTTTGAGCTGCATTGTGTGCTTATTCTTGAATGTTTTGTTCTTTGTTCATGCCAACATTAATTTTTCATTCAGCTTATAAATGTGCATTTGGATATGAATTCGTTGAATGGGTAGCTCACTAATTGATTTCCTTGTAATTAATCTTTTGAATATCGGCTTTCACTGTTGGTTAATTTCCATTTCTGGGTCATTTTTTATTCTTTCACATTGCCTGAATTCAGTGTTTTTTTTTTTTTTTTTTTTTTTCCCTGGAATTAATATCTGCTTCTTAATGTTTAAAAGTGAAATTATTTCTTCTTAATATTACCATCTCCTTTAGTTGCTAATCGGTAATACAAACAAAATTGTCAAAATTCATCACCTTCATCACAAAATCATGGTCTCACATTTAATATGATATTAGTTTATTTATTTATTATGTTTAATTATTTGCAAATTATGGTTGAAGCAAACAATAACATTAAAAAACCGAAAGTAGGGATGCTAGTTTGCAGGTTTGCATGCTGATTTGTATACCTGCATAATTTGTCTCTCGAGTTCTTCGGACGCATATACGTTTCCTTTTGTGTTTTGTGCTTCTACCAATTGGAGTAGGATTCTCTCCCCTCCTCTTTGAACGGTTACGGTTAAGTCACGTTAATGTTTTGTGTTAATTTTTAATAGCCAAAAGAAGACAAAAAGCAATGTATTAGAGGAAGAGAGAGAAGGAGATGGAAATAGGAGGGAAGAGAATTCTATTCCTCTCCAATTTAGTTTTAGTTTTTTTTTTTTTTTTTTTTTTTTTTTTTTTTTTTTTGTGTAACAACCAATTTAGTGTTTTGTGTTCTAATTTTATATAATACGCTTCTCGTTGGATGGCATACAGTCATGCATTTTGGGCCGTTGATCAGAGCCACGACGTGATTAGGTAATTTCAATCAAGATAATATTAGGAAGACCAAAATTTTAAACTAAATTTTACAAACTAAATGACATGGATTATGCTAGGGATAAAGTGTTGATTAACGAGTTTATTTCTTATTGGTGACACATAATTTAGTTTGCAAATTTAGTCTACCTAGCATTACTCATACATACATATAGCCATATATGCCTTGAAAATTGCACGTGTTGCAATCCACAGACCATGCGTAAGACTAAATTCAAAGTTATTATTATTTTTGAGTAAAAAGAGCATGCGTAAGACTAAGAATAAAATGTGTAAGACTAAGAATAAAATCCACAGACCATGCGTAAGACTAAGAATAAAATGTGTAATATTAATTGTCAATGAATGTTCAAATGAATCTGATTGTACATTTTAGAATAAGAATATGACGAGTTATACATTGAATTTCAAATGAATATGAATGTTTAAATAAATTTGAATGTACGGTATAAATTAACAATCTAATGTGTCATGCATTGAATTTCAAATGAATTTGAATCTTCAGTCTGATAAACAATCTAACATGGCATGCATTTTTGATGAATTTGAATGTATAATTTAGATTAACAATTTGATGCATTATGCACTGAACTTTCAAAAAAATTAAATACTTGGTCTAGATTAACAGTATAAATAGCAAAATTCGAATGTGCCTTGTTCAAATTCACAGTTTGGCAATTAATTTTTTTTTTTTTTTTCATACAATACAATACAATTTGTAAAATTTTCTTGACAACCCTCTATTTTGTTGTATCATTTCTAGGTTTTACTTATTTCAGCTATTACTTATTAGCAATATTTACCAAATATTTACACTTGCAGGCTTAACAAACTTTCTTTTGGTTTCTTGTTCTGAAATTTTCCAGGCAAGTCACAGTGCAACACATCAATTTTATCAGATTTTGCTTCCTGAATAAAGCCAAATATTTATGTCACAAATATTAGCTGGCTCTTGCTATCCAATACACTCATCTCTGTAATTTCCAAACCATCATTTAAACAAATCAGCCTGAGAGAGCTCTGCCACACTGTCCGTATCTGTCTCACATAATGCACTTGTATAATAACACTATGCAGATCACCAATGAGCCTCGCTCATGCCAAAACCGAACTCCAACCCGCCTAGGATTTGGTTTCAAGGCCTTAATCCTAGACCCCAAAAAAAACCCATCTCATAAAACTTGCTCCATGACGCTGTCCGACTTGCTATCCCCAACTTCCTCTTCTCTTTTGTGTGGAGATTACATTGGAATGGAGAGCTCGACTGACGTGCTTAAGGACGGTGAGGATCATCAACTGCTACCGAAGGTGACCGGTAGCGGTGGTGATGGGCATGATGGTAATTTTGGTGAGAGGGTAAGGAGTAGGAGGGAGCAAAAATGGGCATTGAAGAATAAGGAGTTTCCACCTCCTATACCTTTGTTGGCACGCACTGAGAACTTGCCTTCTCGTATGCCTTGGGTGTTGAAGAGGCATTGCACAGATGATGGGAGATTGATTCTCACGGAGGAGAAGGTTAGGCATCATGAGTACTTCAGGGCTCATAGGTCAAATGGCAGGCTCACTTTGCAGCTTATACCGCTTGATGATGAGATTTTGATTTCCCCGTTTGCTTGCAATGGGAATGGGAATGAGAACGAGAACATGAATGAGAACGAGAATCATAATGGGAATGATGATGATGATGATGATAATGATGTTGGTGATGGTGGCGGCGACAACAACGATGGTTGTGAAGGATGATGTGGTTGAAGATAAAAAAAAAAATGGGACTGGGCCATCAGCAGCTTCAGCCGGGAAGTGCTTTAGTTTCAATAGCGTGGGAACAGGTTCACCCTGCATATTTGGAGTGCCAGTGCTGCCAACCATCAGGCATGTTCACAGTTAGATTTTGATGATACACCGTCACTTTTATTTTATAGGTCTTTATATCATGTCATGTGACTCATGTGTCCATGCTTAATATTGTTGTTACTACTAGAGTCTTTATTAAATCTTTATTTGTCCTTTGAAATTTTCATGGGTTGTCATGTTCTGTAGGTTCATTGCAGGTAGGACTGATGTGGAGGGAAATTTTTTCGCATTTTTTATTGGTTTTGTTAGTAATTCTTGTCTGGAGAGATTATGTTGAGGATGTGTCAGTTTTCGTGTATTATTTTTCATAAATGCCATGAACACAGGAACCAGATGTGTTTTGCTAATCAACTCGTATATTATTCAGATTAGGTATAAGAAAACTGTTAAAAATGCGTCCAATTTTTTCCGTTTCAGTATTCTGTGGCCATTTTAGGAATGAAAAATGGATTTGCAAATGTTGACACTTGGACAATGATAGTCGATCGGGGAAAAACTTTATTTACATTTTAGTGTTTGTTTTGCATAGCAGTAAGATTTATATGAATTAAAATATTTACTTTATTCAACAGTATCTTTATTCGATTTCATAAAACTTTCGATTTAACTATTTAGTATTACAGTCTAGTAATATTCGTCTTCACTTGTAAGCGATAATTGTTAGTTTCGATTATCACAAAAGGTGAATTTGAATCATATTATTATGGCTAGTCCAATATGAGGCTTAGCCTACTTCTCTACCCCTTAGTGTAGATAATATCATTTTTTAAAAAAAAAAAAAAAACAAAAAAGGACTTTCGATGTATAATGGAGGTACTAATTTGATTGTAGAAAACTTCATCGATACATTCATTCCCAAGGGATAAGGATGGCAAAGGCAAACACTTCGTAAAATATAACGCATTCTCAAAAGTGTCCATATATACAAAAGTATCTGTACGCTTTCTCTTTTCTTTTCACGTTTATGATACAAGAAAACGAGAAGATAAATAACATTTTTTCAAAAGGGAATTGTTTTTGGCACTTCAAAAATCTTATTCTACACTCTAAACTTTTTATATTTGAAAAGAAAAATACCCTTGTGAAGAGTGTAGAATGAGATTTTTAGAGTGCCAATAACATTTCCCTTTCAGAAAATAAAGGAATTAATTTAAAGAGAAGCTTTGGGGCACCCGAGGCCTCTAGAGACAAATAGAAGAGCATTTTTGGCTTGAGAAGGGATAACTCCATTCTAAATACATATACTACTAATATGATGATCCACGGAATCAGTCCTTTAAATAAAGGGATTACATTATATTGGCAGGATAAATACTTAATACAAAGATTGTTATAGATACTAGGCACCTAATAAAACATAGCTTTGAAAGATGAGAAGCCACAAGCAGTCAAATTTAACATAAGAACTATATTTATTGTCGTGCACCTCCATCAAAGGGCAATGATGACTACTTTTCAGAAATATTTTTTTTACACTTTGTTGGTTTTAATCTTCATGTGTCATTATCGCTTTATTATTTACTAATAATATCTACTCAAATTTTTATAAGATTCTCGATCATTCACATAATATCATATGTTCTTATCCAATAAGCATAATAAATTAAAAATTAAAAAGCAAATATTGAAACAATATTATTCTTTGTAGCCTACAATCTAGGGGATAAAATTAGTGGGGCTAAGTCTGTCTTCCTTTAGAATGTATGGAACTTCCTCATCTTTTGGGGAAAACCTTCTTCTTACGACGCGCCCTTTTTTTAGCTTCTCCAAAAACGTTTTAAATCAGGAGACATATATTTGAGGCGTTGGAACATGTATCCCGACAATTTGTGAACTAATTTTGAATTATTATTATGTGGTAACTCGTATTATCTATATTATATATCAATATTTTTATATGTGTGCATATATAATATACGTCAGCAAACCTATTCCCATCTTTAACTTGAGTTGTCTTTTCATTCGAATATTTAGCAGGAGGTGGCCATGATTTGCATGCAAAGGAGTAATGTTATGCTAATTACATATTTGTACTATTATTTATATAGAAAATTAGATTTTAATTCTTAATAAGATGAAGTTTAGAAAAATATCTTATACATGATTAAAAATTAATTTTAGTTCCTAGACTTTATTTAATGTCATCATATGCATTTAATGTCTCTCTTTTATATTAAATAATTTTATGAATTTAAATTTTATGAAAATATTATAAATTTTAATTTTCATTATGGTAAATATCTTATATAAGAAATTATTTTCGTAGAGATTTTTTAGTACACTTATGTTTTTGCATATTTTCTTATGTGCCACTAATTCATTACAATATATTTAGATACGAACATTTTGGTACATTATGTTAGTATAATATGTTTAGGTACGGACATTTCGGTACACTAGTTTAGTATAATATTATTAAGTACCGACATTTCAGTATACTAGTTTAGTATCATATAATTAGGTACGAAATTTTCGGTACAATTATGTTTTGCTTAATTCTTATGTGCTACTAGTTCACTACAATATATTTAGGTACAGACGTTTAGGTACATTAATTAGAGGAAGTTAAATAAAATTATTGAATTAAAATGTGTAAAATAATAAATTTAAAATTTAATGTAATGACATTGAATAAGATATCTATTAAATATCAAAACAAAAATATAATATGAATTTGAATTAAATACACATTAAGGGACTAAAATCAATATACAATCTAACACCAGATTTTTATTAAATTTTAATCTTATTAAAGGATTAAAGTTCAAAACCCCCTTATTTATACTATCTTTCCAATAGAGAAAGAAGAGTTCCAAGTCTATTAGAAAGATAATACAAATATATGGTAAAAAGTAGTATATTGATTCAACAACACCATGTTGTGCATTATTAGATGTGAGCAAACACTTAGATGCCACCGAATAGGACATGTGTTGAAGTTAGTTTCTACCTTCCTATCTTTTGGCCACATGTCTTATCCTTACATATTTTTATATTACTTATGTTGGGGGACTGTTAGGTCGAGGTGGACTTGGGCTTTGAGAACGTCCTCTTTTCTCTCTTGGTACGAATTCATAACAAGTCCCGAGATATCTCGAAAAAGTTAGCTTGTCTTAGGAAATACCCCGGTAACATCAACGGCTCGAAGATAGCATGAATGATCAAGATAATGACTTGCTCAAGTGAAGCATGATGTGGAAGCTAGAAGATTATCAATTTACATGAGAAAGAAAGGATTTGCATGGTTGCAATGACATTCTTTGTTGTAATCTAGGCTTTCCTAGGGTGATAGTAAGGTTTCTAATGGCTGGGATATTTGATGCAAAGCTATGGAAATTGCTAAGGTTGTATGGATGGTGATGCTTGGGGCTTGGAGTATGCTTTTGGGCTAAGTGGAACTTTTTGGGCTTATTCCTGGGTGGTTCTCTCTCATTATGTTTTCTCTATCTCCTCTTCTGTGTTCTTCCCATCCCCCATTTCTGTGATGGCTTCTCCTTTTTTATGTAAGCGAAGGGCTCTTCTCTACGCTTAAGGAATCTCCCTTTATGTCTTGGCCTTATTCTCCTTTCTCCCTAACCCTCCTGTTATTCCCATTTTGGTGTAAGATAGCTGCACTGTTGAGATCTGCAATTTGCTTTTTATTTATTTATTTATTTATTTTTATTTTTTATTTTATTTATTTATTTTTTTTCCGAGACGCAGCTTTCCCAGGGTGGCCTTCCGCATAGGCTACTTCTAGTAGCGCGCCTCATGACTTTCGTGTGTTGGTTGTTTGTGTAGGGGAAAGGAAAGTCAACATTAAATGCCTAACTTGATGGGCTTAGCAAGCATTTAATGCACGAATCTAGTTTAATCCTAACTAAGGGAGTTGGCTTGCTAGGGAAAGGGGTAAACTAGGCTAATTCTCTCTCAATGATGCCTGCTATGAAATACAAAGGGTATGAGCTTGGATCTTTGCGCTCCCAAATAGCCTAAAGTCTTCCATGACCCCGATGAAGCATGGCATGAATATCCAACTTAATCACCGTGGCATGACATGTTTGTAAATATATTCCTCGTTGATCTCATGCCTTGGCATGTGTTTGGGCTTGAATGTAGGCTTTCCATGACCATTGTGCCTTGAGACTTGTCTGGGTTGGTGTGTGACATTTTTGAGCCCCAACAACTTATTTTATATTTTATTATTGTTTTACTTAAGCACCAAGGCTTTTAGCCGCTCTAGTGAGCTATAAATAGGAGCTTTGTTCCATTGTTTTTGGAGCATAAAAAAAAAAGGCAGCATGCATCAAGGATTATATGTAGTTAAAAAGGGAGAGGGTAAAGAGAAAGAAAGAAAGAGAGTTTAGGGGTTATCGTTCGAGGTGTGGAGATAGTTTTTATAATTTGTTGGAAAACTTCTTGTCTTTTGATAAATGTGAAAATCACGAGCTATTGTAGATTTTCTTTGTTTACAAATTTCAATCTATTTTCAAGTCAAGCATCTTAGTTTTCGGGAAATGTTTTGATGAGTTGATATACATTCTATGTTGAGTTACTCAAGATTGTCCATCAAGCATGAAAACTTTTAGTGTTGGGTTATCCAAGGATAAATGTATCGCACACGGGTACATTAGGGCATAATGATCAATTAAGGTGTCACATCTGAGTTACATATTATGAAGGATAACCAACATGTGAAGGGATGATATGATATGGCAAGATATGGCATAAAGATTGAGATATAATTATACTATGTTACAGTGCAAGTAAAACAACATTGATTGACTGGCATATTGTATATTTTACTCACTGCGCGACGGTGGCTATTGCTCAGCCTTCAATTTGTATTTTACAGATGAGTTGTTTGGCAAGACAGAGGCTAGAAGAGTTGAGGTTGTGTTAGATGGGGGATTTAAGAATTTGATTTATTATTGTACACCTTGTAAGGTTTTCTAGATCATTTTCATAAGTGAATTTAGTTTTTCATTTTGATTTTATTTTTTATTTGCATTGGGTACAGGGTTAATTTTTAACCGACTCTGGGTCCAATGGGTGACGCATGATTCAAACAATTCCTTTTTGAAACTATTTTTTTTAGTAGCCTTCTTCCCAATAGGCCTCAAGGTTTCTTGGGTCGATGCGACTAATTCAGTTGGGTCTCCAATGTCAACTCTTCAGTAGTTGATTCATGTAGAGGAATCTTTTCAACACAACTTGTGGACCACTAAGTAGAACTTTGCATTTCGGAGTATGATTCACAATGTTCCAACATTTGTGCCTTATGAATGCTTTTTTGTTTTCAAGATTGAACCATATTTATGATTGTAATTGCTGAAAAAAAAGTGTGAAACAACATAATGAAATGATTACTTTTAATTGCCTAAAGGTCTAAACAATAACATGTTAATTACATTTTAAATTTATTAATAATAAAATATTATTACCTCACTCATTGGATTATCACCACTTCATAAATTTCTTCTGCTTTTGTGAAGGCTTCTTGCCAAGCATTCAAATCTTTATGTAGATGTTCATACCAACTCGACAGAGATTTGCTCGGTCCAAAATGTGCTCTGAATCTTCTTGACAAATTTGATAAATTCTCATCCACATTTATTGCACCTTCATCTCATTTCCCGTGACTAGGTCATGAGTAGCACGCATCCAAGCCTCAAACAAGCAATGTCTTACCTGGCACAGCAATTTACCTTCTCACTCATTTTTGGTTTTTTTTTTTTTTTTTTAACCAAAGGATTAGAAAAGTTAAAAACAAATATAGGAGATTGTAGTAAAAATAAATATTGATTTGTAATATGAGAATTGAAGAAGATGGTTCGGTATTTATAGAATAAAAATTTTCTTTTCTTATTTTTTATAATATATATCGTTGGATTAATCCTAGCCATTGGTTTCCTCACTCATTTAAAATTTTCGCATCATGTTATGTTAGGTGGCACAACGGTCTACTTTTCATATTTTTTTACCTCAAAAAGTCCAATGGTCTAAAGCATCAGACCTTTAGAAATCCGCTGATTTAGGTGAATCCCACGGCTCTGAGTTGCTTTTTAGTTGCGGAACCCTCTATCAAATGGCTGACATAATGATGACGTCGCCTTATGCTTGCTGGCTCAAATGCCTGGCAAAGAAAGGCCGGGCATTCCAACGGACTTGATGGAGCCCAGCAACTGCCCTCCAAGATTTGGGCTGCTGAAGCCACTTTAGTGGATTTTGGGCAATAGAATTTCCCTTGACTTTGCCTTTCTTGGACCGGTGAAAGTGGTCTTAAGCGCCACATAGTCCCAAGTTGAGCACATGTCTCTTACTTTCTTGCAAGAGAGTACACATTCTCTGCCATATGATTCCACGCACATGTCTCTTATACATACTTAGCCAGCCTTTGAACCTTGACTGATGGTCATGCAATATGATTCCACGCACTCGTAACTTTTAACAATTCTTTAGGTTGACCGAGTGGTGAAAAATTCGTGCAAACCATTGCCATAGAGTGAGACTCAATCTTGCCAACGCGTTTCCAACTCAGAGTGAAAATTTTCTTTGCTTTTCCATATTATCCTCATTTTACTTTTTACTTTTGGCCAAACTTTCAACTATGGTGTGCTTCATCGTCATATTTGGCAATTGGTGAAGTGGCACTCTGGCCAATTGGAGGTAGTTTGAACGAAATTTGTATTTATTGGTTTTTTAAATTTGAACGATATTTAAAAACATTAGTGAAGATAGACCGATCATGTGAATGATCAGTATTTTGAAATTTAATAAGGATTTTCAATCTAATGACAAAAATACCATAAATGGTAATGATTATATATGAGATTCATTGGTACATGTGCATTCTCGTGTGTAAGTCATGTATACGAGACACATGCCGTTCGGTGACAGCAACTATTGAAATTTAAAATAGATCCCCATTTCATTTTGACCTATTTTACTCAAGTACTCAGATGTGAAAGAAAAAAAGAAATTATAGATCGATAATCATTCAGCTGGTTGTCAAATGAAGGAAGAGCTCAAATTCTCCCTTGCAAACCCTAAAATTAATAGAGTGCCACACAAATGGTTCATCTCTCCGCCATTCCTAATATTTTGCCTTTTGTAGGAACCTGGCAAGAAAACCATACATTTTTTTCTCTTTACTTGTACTAATTATATATATATATATATTCAGAAAAAGATGAAATCGGGTTTTTTAGGGGGTTCCTTCTGCTTATTTTGTTTGTGGGTCAGATTTAGGGGGTTCATTCTTTTGTATCAGTCTGTTGTTTGTCTTAACTAATTTGAAGCATCTTAACAAAAGGGGGGAAATCATGGTCGGGAACACTACAAAAACAAAACCAAGAAAGCAAAAAACGTATTGCTCTTCCTTGAGAATTTTTTTTTTTTTTTTTAAATTTTAAACTTTTTTTGCAGGAGAAAGATTGATATGTCAGAAAGAAGAGAGAACCCTAAACCCTCCCCAGTTCCACACCCCACAGTTCTTCCTCCCGTCGTCCCAACATCACCACCTTCATCCCTAAACCCTCCTCAGCTCCTTCAGTGCCTTTTCCTCATCATTTTCCTTCTGAAGGTTGGCCAAATCGGACTCGTCGTACTCCTTCTTGGCCTCGGGTGCCTCCAAGGACTTTGCTATTCCACCTTGCTTGGAAGACATGGCTGTGATCTAGGGCAAAAGGCTTGCTCGGTTGGAAGACGCAGCAACCTTGTTTAGAAGTTTTAAATTTATTTTTTTTAATGTTTAATTTATTTACTTTTAATATTTACTTTTTTCTTTATTATTTAATTAATTAGTTTTAAGGGTAGAATTTTTAATTTATTAGCAGAATTTTGACTGAAGGGATTATGTGAGAGTGAATTAAGATGTGAGGGGTGTTAATGTTATTAACCCTTGTTGTTTAATTTTTTAATTTTTTATTTTTTTTATCATCATGGGAAGAGGGGGAGAGTTTAAAGTTATTACATTAATTTGGGGAAGAAGAGGGTGTCTGTATCTACTAGGTTATCCAATCACATGCAATTATCGGGTAATTAAGAAAAATGGATTAAATGTTGTCTAGCTTTCTCTAATTTATTATTATTATTTTTTTGATAAAAGAGGCAGATGACTATTTTAAACTGCAAATATAAGCTCCCTGTACAATAATTTTAATATAGCACGTTAAAACTTCTTTAAAATAATACTGAACAAAGGAATAATCTCTTTAAAGTCCTAAAAAAATTTCGATTCCAATATGAGACCAGTTATATATAGAATAAACTTCACATTATAATAAGTTATAATTTTTCTTGCTCTCATCTTAAGGAAACACACTTCCATATGGTAATAATTGTCATGAGAGTATGCAATATTACATTTAAACGTTTAAGATGAACTAAAATATTCCTCTAAAGTTGTTTGGAACAAGCCTTTAGTTTTTAAAGTTGATGTCACGTCTTTGAGTTTGCCGGTACTTAATATATAGTCAACATGGTCAGTTTCTTGTTGAAGCCATAATGTTTCTAACTTCTAAGGCATGTTTCCAACTTGTTGGCATGAAACTTTTGGTATTTCCATACTGTCCTCATGAATCCTAATTAGGAAACACAACATTCATTATGAATAAATAAGTCAACAAATAATTTTTTTTCAACTACACCTCTATTAAGTAATAACCTCTTTAAAATTATCAAATTGGTTTAGTCCGAACTTTATGACTTTATAGAGCTTTTACTGTACATTTTTTTACCACACATATATAAGTGGGAGGAGGATTATCTCCCCTCCTAATCTCTCTCCCCTTCCCTCTCCTCCTACTTGAACGGTTACGGTTAAGCCTATAGAAACAATAAGACAAAAAGCAATGCCACTTAGTACGACGGTCTAATGGTACCCCTCTTCACTTGTAAGTGAGAGGTCTTAGGTTCGATTCTCACCAAGGGCAAATTTGAACCACATTATTGTTAGCCCATTGTGAAAGTAAGCCCACCCCGCTTCCCTTTAGTGTGAATAATATTGTTTGTTCAAAAAAAAGAAAAAAAGAAAAAAAGAAGACAAAAAGCAATATGTATCATTTGTTCAAAAAAAAAAAAAAATGAAAAAAGACAAGAAATAGTATGTAAGAGGAGGGGAGGGAAGAGGATAGGAATAGGTTGGGAGGGAAGGGGATGGAAATAGGTGGGAGAGAATCCTACTCCATGTAAGTGAACCACATAGCTAGTGTCACTCACTAATACGCCAATATGAAAATGTGGTCCTCTAAAATGACAATACTTGCATTCCTTCCATGGGGAAATAGCTCATTCACCAATTTATAAATAACATATTGTACTGTAGAATTTTCATAATCGAAAGCACTCAATTTTTTAATCTTCATTTGAGATCATTTCTACAAAACAAAAAAAAAACAAAAAAAAAAACAAAAATCTGATTGGAAAACTAATTGGACATTATTTAGTCATTCAAATGTATCAAATAAATTAACAGTGTAGGTAGGTACCAACATATTAATGATGAACCATCCATTGATTTGATGCCATTGGATGACTAAACGATCTCCTTTTCGCATGATTTTTGTAGGATGACCTTTAAATGAAGATTCAAAATTGAAGGATTCCGATTATGAAATTTCTACGGTAAAGATAAGCTATTTGAAAGTGGAGTTATAAACCCACCCTCCTAAAGAAAAATGCAAATATTACTATGGATGTAGATTTCCACCATCTTCTCATTTGACGAAAATGCACTTGCAAAATAATAACACCTAAGATCAAGGCCAAGAGCCTCACATGCCCACGATGAATTTGAAGGGGATGGGGGGTTTGGCCGAAGAATCTCCGATGCCAAAGTTAGAATTTGAGAGAGAATGTGTTTGGGAATTTTTCAGAGAGAATGAACTTAGTTTTTTGGAGAAAAATGGGACTATTTATAGGGGTGTGGCCGACCCTATTTGGAGAATAGGGACCGGCCTCTTATGGTGGTTTTATGAGATTAATTGCAAGATATCATGTGAAATAATATCTTGCAATTAACTTGGTAATCAATCCCAATTTAAATAGAATAATTGGGAGTTACCTTTTGGGCGAGGATTTGATGAGGAGTGATGAGACGGTTTTGAATAAATACCATTTTGATCACCTTTGACTCTTCCTTGATTGAGCCGTTATTGTCCGTTGCATGCGTGTGGGAATCCTGATATGCCTTGAGGGTAATTTTATCTTTTTTTACCCAAAAGTCCACGTGTCGCCTCCATAATTTTCTTGATTATTTTTGGCTCCACAAATGCCTCTACACCTGTTGCACTGCTCGCAAGAAAGGGCAGCATGTGTAGAGATCTTCTCTTGCTTTAAGAAACATAAGATTGTTTCCTATTTTGATGTAAATTCCCTCTTTAATTGGAAATTAGATCCTTCTAGGAAAGGGAAATAAATTACTCCCAAAGTTTATTTAAGTCTACCTTTAGTAGATGACTAAATCAACTTCAGAGAGCAATTTATTATACCCTACAAGAGAGAGAAAGCTAGAGGATATTTGTTCCCTTCCCCTAGCAATCTTCTACACTTGCCTGTGTAAAAGACCGTCTTGCGTTGTTTTCTTTGTCTTCACGCCGCACCAAGGTAAGAAAAAATTAATTTTTCCTTATCTTCGTAATTTTTGGGAGCCTTGGGGCTTGCAATTTAGCTCAACGGGGGTCGAGAAGGTGTGAAAAAGTGGTTGGAAAGCCACGGCGTAGCTGCCGTGAGTGGCTTGCTACTGTTGACTCGGTACGGTGGCGACTGGCTGGGCCACAAGCGGTTCGGCTTAGGCTGAGCTGATGGGCGCTAGGCTAGAACTGGCACGGGCCAGGTTGGTGTGTTGGACTGGGCCGAGGAGGCACGGGCCTCATTTTCTTTTCTTTTTATTTTTTTTGGGCTTAGGCCTGAGTGTGAGAGGAGAGAGAGGGGTTGAGAGCCTTTGGGCTGCTGGGCTAGGCCCGTTCAAGTGGGCTAAAGGATGCGCTAGGGCGCCTGCCCCATCTTCTTGTGGGTTTGGGCCAAGAATGGAGATGGGAGCCAGCGCGGGCTAGGCTCCCTTGGCTACTTCCTTTGGGCCTTAAAGCCTGATACTTTCCTTTTCTTTTTTTTTTGGCGCAATCGTGTAACGAATTTTCCTCGTATCTTTGTAGAATTTCCTTGAGTATGTCTTCTTCAAGCCACAAAAGTGACGATGGTGTGCCGCCGTTGTATCATTAAGGCGAGTCTTCGAGCAAGCACTACTACAATATAGGCTATCACCGGCGAAGAAAAAACCTACAATAAATCCAATTTCTGTCACAGATTTGGCAAAAATCCAACATAAAACAATGTAATGTCGGATTGGAATAGCGACACCAATGCTAGCGTCACGAAAGGGCTTCAATGTCGGTTCGTTCGCTTAATCCACCACAAAGCAGCGTCTGTTAAAAGCGAGCACACGGTCAAATCTGAAGTATCTTTCCAATAGATTATGCAATCATTAGGACATGCATCAATTTTCACATACGACAAACCCAAGTCATTTATAAGTTTTTTTTACTTATAACAGGATTCAGGCAAACAATCCCCTTCATGCAACATTCTTTAATTAACTCCAGTAAAGTGGTGAAGATCTCGTCTGTCATTCCCTTTAAACACTTGATCTGATATAGTCTTACAACTGCTTCCAATTTATTAAACTCCTTACAACCTGGCCACAAATCTTGATCTGCCTCTTCAAGCATCCTAAAAAAAGTCTCTACCTCTTCTGGACGCCCTTCCCCAATAGGGGGTTCAGTAGATGGCCCAACACTTTCTTCTGTTAATGGTTGAACAAATACATCATTAAGAAAATCATGCATGCCAATCAGCTCATCTCCTGTTTCTTCTTCTCCAATAGCCACATTTTGCTCTCCAATGTTTTGCTCGCCATGATGTTGCCACCCAGCATTTTTATAATCTTTATCCATATCATACAATATGAGATGTTCAACAATAGTGTTCCTAACAAAAGTATATCGATTACAACATCTTTTGCAAGGAAATCTAAACTTATCGGGACCAACACCATTTGCAATTGCTTGATCCAAAAACAAATTAATTCCAGCTGTATACACTTCAAAATTTTAGGGTATCGTCAACTGACTCTTGTCCATGTTTTACCACTTTATGAGGGCAAAATATTACATTGACACTGAGATCCCTACAATCTTTCAATCCCTATCATGTTGGCATAACTATTAGAATTTTCAATTTCTATCTTTCAACCCTCGAACTCTATCACGATTGCAATCTTTTAATTTTCAACACCTATTATAGTAAAAACAAATTAAAATAACAACAAAAAGTTACCAAAATTATGTTCATCTAATCTATTCTAGTAAATAACAACCAAAAGTTATCAAAGTTATCAAAATAACAACAAAAACAAATTAAAATAACAATTAGAGTGCAAAAAAAAATTAATTTAACATAATATATTCTTATATTACTAAATATTATAAGTTTATGTTATATTTAATATTGTTAATTTAACATAAATGCTTATAAATATTATTCATTTCCATTTTCTCATAACAATTCAAGTGACAAAATTAATTAATTCGACTAAATATTTATTAATTTAACAAAAATAGTAGAAATTTATCTATGTACTTAAATTAGAATTTTTAAATAAATAAACTTGTGTATTATACAATTTAAAAATTAAAGAATTTAGTGATAGAAACTTGAATTATGGAAGAATTCCGTCGTCGATCAATTCTTTATGTACTCAGCCAGCTCAAATAAATTCCTTACAAAAATAAAT